TCTTTATGATTTCCACTCCATCAAAATTTATTTTTTAAAAACTGCTTCAAGAAAACAACATCAGGATGTCCGTTGTCATTTATCATAAACGTTGTATGGTTGATATTTGTATCCCAATTACTATTTGTTTTTTTGAATTTTGCTTTTCCAAGAGTTTCCAAGAATACACCATCTTCCGAACCATCATTAAATTTCTTTTTAAATTTGTTGATGTAGTTATTTTTTTGAGAACGTAGATTGACAGTGTGGTTATTGTTGCAAAGAACAACATCTTCTTTGCCCATTTTTTTTAAAATTAAATTTATTATAAAGTATAGAACTTGTTGTAGGCAGATGTTGGAATGGTTTGTTCCTGTTGGCTTTCAATGTGAGTTGTTTGTTTAGAATGTTTGACCCTTTTAACCTTTATCCAAGAATTAACTCCATCAACATTTGGATTGGTTGAGAATTCATTGTTGTTCAGTTCGATCTTTCTTTTAAATTCTTCCTCTTTTGTTTTTGTTGTTCTGTTCTCAATCCTATTCCAAGACTCATCCAAATCCAAAGTTAACTGAATACATCTTAAAAAATAGGCCAAAATTTGAGCCAACTTTAACCCAGCAGAGATCTCAATAGAACAACCAAAATCTTTTCTACCATATCTCTCTTCTGAGGGATTTTTGAGATTATCACTGCTAAATTCCATGTCAGTATATGAAAGTATTTCTGTATTCTTGGTTGGAAGGGGAGGATAATCACTCGGCTTTGTTGGTTTTTTAAGCATCAAATACCAGTACTCTTTTGTATTTGTTCCATGTTGCACACAATTTTCCAAAATATATTCAAGAAGTCTATGAAAATGTTCAAAACCTTCTGCACTCCATTTTGACAAGCCTCCATACGTTTTTAACAAAGCAACCCCATGATACATAATTATGTGAACATACCAGCTTCCTATTGTTGAATACTTTTTAAATTTCTGGAAGAAACGATCAAGAGATAATTGGAAATCTTGATAATCGCCATTGCTCAGCCCTTTTTTGAATATATCAAGAATGTGATTGCCTTCGTTCCATAATTCTTGAATATGTTTTGGACAATTTTTAAAAAATTTAGCACGTCCTTGCAATAGAGCTTCACATTGGTCACCAGTGAGATATAAATTGTAATCTCCATTTTCATCTGGTTCAAACATCAAGTTTCTTAATGTTGAAACCATTTGAATTTCTTTTACCATAGAATCGAAATTTTCTTCTGCTGTACCTAAACTAAGCCTTAATAGATGTTGAATGATTCTTTCGAGTAAATGTAAATAACAAATTATAAAATCAGTATGATCAAATCCTAAACAATTTGAAATTTCTGTGTTACCAGACCTTTCCACAACAGTGCATCCCTGTTTAATTGAACTATGTGCGTTTGGACAATCACAAAATGGACAATTAATTCTGCTCCATCCATTTAAATATTTAAACGCAGACAAATCAGTAACAAGTTTGTTTTTTAATTCATACTTGTAATTTTTTCCATTGTATTCAATAACCACTACCTGTTTACGCAATTCATCAAGCTCTGCCCTTATAATGTTTGATATAAATAAAATATCTTTTTCCTTACCATTCCATAGGGCCAATGGAATTATTGAAAAGGGACATTGAGCATTAAAAACTCTAGAACCTCGCATAGATACACCCAAAACTGTCAAACCATTAAGACCCTTTTGATCCATTCCATAACTCATAATGGCCTCTTTTGTTGCTTTTTCCAAAAAAGCCATATCGTTCTCAGAAATAACTTTTCCTTTTGTTTGTCTATTGATGGTTTCGATTAATTCCAATTTCAAAATACTCTTTACCAATTTTGTAATATTTTTAACAAACACGACTGTCGTTTGTTTCTTATTTCCTTTTACCGTCACAGGTGATTCATTCAACACATTACTCGACATACTCATTGCAACACCAACACTGTTGGACGATTGGTTGTCTTGTGTAGGATTTGAAGAAATATTCTGACAGCTATCTTGACAAATATTTTGACAAGTATCTTCACAGGCATCCTCTGGCTCATCAATGTCCTCATATATCTGCTCTTTTTCATGCTGAACACTGGCTACATAACTGACAGATCTAATATTTACATCATAAAAGCCAAGCACTTCTATGTTTTTTTCTTTTCTTGTGTCTTTTAAGTCATCTAAGGGAGGTAAATATTTTTCAAGAAAGAATCTAATTCGAATCTCATGGTAAAGACTATCTGAAATTCGCATTCTATCTTTTTGCAAAAGGATGTAAGAATTAAATGAAACCACATTTACAGAAAAAGCAATGAATAATGAAGATACTTTTTCGTTTCTCTTTTGTAAATCTTTACAAAAGGTTTCGAATAAGTCAATATCATTTGAAAAAAGCTGCAACAACAATTCATAAACTGTCTCATCTCGCAATGTATGTGTCAACATGTTGAACAATGACAATAAATCCACCAAGGATGTGTCATTGTTTGTTTGTTTTTTTGGTTGGACCATTAAAAAAGATTCACTAAACATCATGGAAGAAAAATTGGCAACACCAACATCAACACACACACTTGTTGAATTACCTTTGCTATTTCTTTGTTGACACAAAAATGTATCTCCCACTTTGGAACAATATTTCTGCATTGGAGATTCTTTTAGAGTGAATTCTTTGTTATTGCCATGTTTCTTGGTGATGTTAACAAAGTCTTTGATTGTTTTGTATCTGCTGATTCTTGCAGATGGAGAAACAAGTGTGTTTGTTTGTCCATTACCTGTCACAGAAAATAAACTCTCAATAGTAGAGAGAGTCATTGTTTTTTTTTTTAAAATATGCTGCTCTTTGTTTTTGTTGAACACCACCTCACCACTCCCATTAATGAGTTGTTATTTGCCATGCAGTATCGTTACTAATTCATTTGCCCAACTGTGAGAGAACAGCATCTCAGTTGAGTTCGTCGTATGCTTAATAAATGCATTGGCTGATGATTTGGCAATTTCTTCACACTCATCCTCTCATTCCTATGAAGATTGCAATCAGATTCGAGCATCGTTACCAAAACAATCTGCTTTGCACACAAGCAGTTGGCGTCCTGTGTGATTCGATAAATAAATTTCTCTTCAACAAGTGAGGCAACGAGGAGCATCATGAGCAAGATATGAATGCAATTTCGTAAAGTGACAGACAAACCAACCAAACGAAACATTTTGTACTGTTCAAGTCATCCTAAAGATCAACTCAACAATTGGACATCTGGGATTGATTAGGGGTTTTTTTGGTCACGTCAAGAGAATTTCACAGCTCTTGGCAAAACAAGTACACCACGATCATATGTTACCTTATTCCTCCTTGATTTGCAGAAATCCCAACTCTGGCAAATTCTGGAATCACAGTGGAAACAAATTTGACATCACTTTCAGTGAATTTCACAACAACCCATCAGAACCCCTCTATACAGAAGGCAATTGATGTTTAACAGTGCGGACCATAACAAAGGCAAGACCAGTTCTTCCAATGAAACCACTTGTTGGGACGTAATGTGAGCAGAAAAACCACAAACAACAGTGAACAATGCTCCTAATTGAAGCCAACAAGGAATTTCCATTAGCATCTGATGAAGCAAGCATAGAAAAGTTCCACCATTCCTGACAACAGACCATACAGAGGTTGAAAGAACAAAAAAGTTTTTGTTCCTTATCAAAAACAAAACCACTCCACATTCATTCAACATGACTTTCGAGTTGTAAATATTGACAGTTGCAGCAATTTTGTTGGCACCAAGACCAACGTGATACTTAAGAACGATTTTGTCAGTTCCAACACAGTCAGTTCCTATAGAGCAGGTCATGTACCTACATCTGTGAAATTGCAACCACACCATATCCAATGAACACCATAAATTTGATCAAATGGATCTGTTTGAGTCCTTGTAATTTCCACTGCAATGCATACGACGCAGAAATGTCCAATGTATCAGCTACTGAATATGTGAATGTATCATTACCAACTTGTAAATTGGATGGTTGATAGATAGTCTCAGTCCAGATGCAGACAAATTATCAGAAATGGTATAGGTGCAGTTTGAACTCTCTTACCAGCCATTTGGAAAAAGACGGAAGCTCCACTAGAGTTAATGGATTAGTTCCAGAAGGATTGCAAGGAGATTAATATTGAGAGTCCCATTGGAATCAGCAGCAGAATTGAATAAGGAGTACCTGCTGTCTTGCATTGCGCTTGACAGGGAAGTGTTTAGTGAGTTGGCACTGATTGTTGCTGCATCAATGGAAATTTCAGCTCCATGTGTTTCTCAACAAGTGAAGCTCTTTGCTTATGTTGTCACTGATTTGGATGGTGTATTCAAACAATTAATGCAGCTCCTTGAGTTGGTAGCAAATGCAGGTGTGAGGACTTTAGTCCTCCATATGTCAGTGTATTGAATGGAAAATGCACTTCCCAACATCGAACGAACTTAAGGAACGAACTTTTCACCAGTGTCTTTTGCTGCTAAGCAGTACTGATAAGGGAGAAATCAATTCTATCAGCAGAAGGAATGTTTGCTTCAGTAAATGAGTCAGTAGAAGTCAAAAAGATGGCATCCACTGAATAACCAGAAGCCATTGTTAATGCAGTTGTGAGCGTTGGTTTGTTGTTATAAATGTTCATATTGACAATGAAAATGGTATCATCGACACCATCAAAATTTGTTGCCTGGAAAGTATCAGAATCAAGATTGTCAATACTTTGCCTGTACAAAATATTTTTAGAAATTGTGATTGTTGAGTATTAGTATTGGTAATTTCATTTGTCAAGCCTGCACCTGCATTTGTGGTTTCTCCATCACAAGCAACACAGGCTACAACTGAACACCCTTTGATACAGGTTGGAACGAATAAAAGTTGGTGTTTGAATTAATCTTGGCAATTGTAAATCAGCAACTTTCTGAACGTGAGCAATGATAAAGTTATCAAAGAAGGTATTTTGTTGCATGGTCCAGATTTCAGTAAAAACAACACCAATCCTTCCAGACAGATTTGATAGCTACTTATCTTCAAAATAATTTGGATTTAGATTTTCTTTGAAGCCCAAACACTTGAATTCTTAATCTCGAGCAACCCATTTACCCCTGTAAGCTGGATTTTTAATCAATCTTGGTTGAGTTTCACACTTCTTATTCCCAACAATTGGAGTTTCCCAAGCACCATCTTCATCCTCATCCCATTCCAACATTTTGGCTTCTGAATCTGGAATCATGTCTTGTTCATTTTCTAACCAATCCTCCAACATGTTATCTTCTGGATCTGAAATAAATTCTTCTTCTCTTGACAATGTTTCATCCCAATCTTCCAGCTTACTGGCTTCTGGATCATCCATTAATTCTTCATCAACCCAACCAAGTGGCTTCTTATCAGTTGGATCATCAATTTCCTTTGATGGAACAACAGATGGAGAAGAATTCAAACAAGCTTCCATTTCCAGCAATTTGTTGATCAATCTTGATTTCAAAAGTGTTGGTCAAGTGATTTTCTTCCCATGTTTGAATGGTGAACAAAATCTCATCTCCTGTCATTAATACATCCAAAGAGAAAAGAACAGAGTTGCGACAACCATAACAACACAACCAGTAAAAGTCAATGCAGCATTGCTGTTAGAATAAGTAACAACATTCTCACCCAATAAACCACTCTTGGCAACTTATGTCAACTAAACAGCACCCGTGTTTGTTACCAACAGAACATATTTGTTTGGACTTTTTCACAACAAAATTCCTTTATATTTTCCAACATTAATTTACAAATTATTAATTAATAAATTTGAAAATTTAAATAAAAACTAACCGGTTTAAATATTGTTGTTTGTAGAAGGGTTAAATGAAAAAAGATTTTCACCACCACATTTACTTGTGTTAGGTTGCGATAGATGTGATGGTCTACCCAGGGCAACCAAGAACCAAAAGACACATGTCATCAAAGTTCACACAAGCAAACATCAATGAATAGGAACAATAATCGCCGCATCATGGTCATCACATAATCCATATCCATGAAGAACCTGCTTTGCCATTCCCTGCCATTTAGTGACAACCTTTACCAATTATTTATGCATCATTTTCCAACCCAAAAGCCTACTAATGACGGGGCCCGCCAATAAAGGTTTGGGTATGTTGGATTTTGATGGATGAAACAAATTAATAAAGGTTGTAGTGATTGTCATTTTTTTTAAACCGATTTTAATTTTTTTATTAATTACTACCAATTAATCACAGAGTTCTGGCTCTCCATACTGTTCATTTTCTTGATCATAGTTAATAACATCCATTACCTCTCGTTTCCAAGTTAAATCCATTCTAACCTCCCACGAAACAACATTGCATTTAACTTTACAGCTAGTCATTGTAGATACTCTTTTTCTAACAATTAATTGAACATCATCTTCTACCTCATAATGATACTTAATTCGCCAATTATCACTGATTCCGAAATATGGATATTTCTCACCTTCAAATGAATATACAACACAACCTTGCAGCAATTTTGATCCATCCTCTTGTGTTTTTGTGTATCTCCTGAAAGATCTCTCACCACCAGCTTCTTTCATAAAATAATCAAACAATCTTGGTTCCATTGCTCCAATGAATATATCTTTTCTAATTCTTGCTTTTCCAGGTTTCATGGCATTGAAAACCTTATGTCTTGCAACTCTTCCCAAATGTTGGATGGCACTAAAAAGGATTGCTTTTTCCACAGAGTTTTGTTTGTCATAGGATTCTGATTTAAATCCATCCTTACAAATATCTATATATTTATCCCAATACTTCTCTTCAATGATTCTCCATTGTTGATAAGTATTAGCCTCTGCCATTAACACATCACCATCTTCATCCAAATCATCAATGTCATCGTTGTCTTCATATTGTTGTTGGTCATTGTTGATTATTCTTTCTTTGTATTGGTTCAAGTTGGTGGATATTGTTTGTGTGTTATTGTGTAAAATATCCATCAAAGAGATATCTGTTCTTCCATATCGCTGCTGTCTCATTAGAAGTAACATTTCTTCAGCACTGTTTTGTTGTTCATTGGATTCTTCTTCAAAATCCATATAGTCAATGAAATCCATTATTATCGTATTTGTTTGCGTTTTGTGGTGTTGATGTAATGATTGATATTGTGTAGATTCATCTTCAGTTGTTGTCGCATTTTTTTTTTCTTGTCGGTACACTAGTTTTCGCCTGGCTGATAGAAACTACTCTGGTAGTGACATTAAAATTGTACATTAAAAACTTTAAGCAAAACAGAGTGCTGAATCTCAGATAGCATAGTGATGTAGTCCGTCATGAGGTGGTGACACGCCGGTCTCCTCGGTTAATAATTAATGTGTAAATAAAGTTTTCCATCATATGAAACAGTATTAATGAAACCAAAAGTTTCACTTTGCCGAATGTGTTTTCAAAACAGTAAATCTTGTTAATTAATTTTTGTTCTTTTTTATTGTGGTTAGAATTTTTTATTGTTAAATCAAAAACTGCAGCAAGAAACAACTCCCTAAAAACTGTTACTAGTTTTAATCCCTTACGGATTTAATTAATTTCAAATAATCAGTTTGA